CTGATAGCTTCACTGCTGAACGCTACCAAACATTTAAGGAACTATTAGCAATTCTACTCAAACTCTTCAAAAAAATTGAAGAGGAGGAAATACTTCCAAACTCATTCTACAAGGTCTATATTACCCTGACACCAAAACCAGACAAGGACACACACACAAAAAAAGAAAACTACAAGCCAATATTACCGATGAACATAGATTCAAAGATCCTCAACAAAATACCAGCAAATTGAATTCAACAACACATTAAAAAGACTCATCCCAGGGATGCAAGGGTGGCTTAACATATGCAAATCAATAAACATGATATATCACTAACAGATGTAATGATACATCATTAACAGAACTAAGAACAAAAACCATATGACCATCTCAATAGATGCTGAAAAAGCATTTGATAAATTCAACATTCCTCTCACTCACCCTTTCTCCACAGGGTTCCCTTACAACATGGTAGCTAGCTTCCCCCAGGGCAAGTGATCCAAGAGAGAGTGAAAAAGAGCAACCAAGTTGGAAGCCACAGCCTTCTTATAACCTAATCTTGGAGGTGACATCTCATCACTTCTGCCAAATACCAATCAGAAGAAGTAAGCCAGTATTCCTAGGTCTCATTCAAGAGAAGGGGATTACACAAGGACATGAGTACCAGAAGGTAGAGGGGGTCATTGAGGGCCATCTAGGGGTTGCCTACTACATGTTTCTTTACTGCAGAAATTTTAAAGTATTTAATATGCTATTCATCATTTTGAACATCAAAGAGGGATAATGTCGTAAGCTATATTTTCCAAACTATTTGATCTTGGAATCCTTCCATCTGCTTTCATTCTGCCAATTTATACATGTGCCTAGGGTTCTAATAAAACTTGCTGCTCAAGGTGGTTCTTGGACCAGGCAGTTTGTTAGAAACACAGAATCTCAGGCCCCACCCTGACCCACTGAATTTCTGGAAGTATTCCTTGTTCTGGAATTTACTTTGTCCTGTATCTATGTAGCCACTCAGCTTTCTTTTGGTTGGTATTTGTATGGCATGTCTTTTCCCATCCTTTCCTTTTTAATCTGTCTATATCTGTATATTTAAGGTAGGTTTATTGTAGATCATATATAAATAAAAGTTTATTTATACAATCTGACAATATCTGCCTTTTAATTAGGGTGTTAAGGCCATTTATATTTAATGTAATCATTAATATAGTTAGATTTAAATCTACCATCTTTTTGTTTTCTATTTGTCAATTTATCTTTTTTCCCTATATCATTGCCCTCTTTTAGAGTATTTTATTATTCCATTTTATCTCTACTATTAGTTTATTAACTATACCTCTTTTTAAAAGATTTTAGTGGTTGCTATAAAGTTTATAATATACATCTTTAACTTATCACAATTTAATTTCAAGTAGTATTAAATCACATCATGCATGATGTAAGAACCTTATGATAGTGCATTTCCATTTCTTTCCTCCCATCTTTTGTAGTACTGGTGTCATACATTTTAATTCTAAATATGATGTAAACCTCACAATGCATTGCAACTATTTTTGCTTTAGATAATTATTTTTAAAGTGATTAAAATAATTTTAAAAGTTTATTTTCATTTTTATCATTTCTAGAGCTATTCATTTCTGTGTGTAGATCCAAATTTCTATCTGCTGTCATATTTCTTCTGTGTGAAGAACTTCTTTTAACATTTCTTTTAGTGAAAGTCTGTAGAAACATAAAAAAAAAAATCCCTACATTTGCTTTTATTTTTAAAAGATATTGTAGCTAGGTATAGAATTCTGGATTGACAGTATTTTTCAATACTGTTACTCCATTTTCTTCTGGCTGACATAGTTTCTGACAAGAAGTATGCTGTAATTTTTTATCTCTATCTTTCTATATGCAACATGCCATTTTTCTCTCACTACCTTCAAGATTTTCTCATCTTTTGTTTCATTAATTTGAGGAAATTCTCAGCTTTATATCTCAAATATTTTTCCCGCCTCATTCTTCTCTCCTTTTGGGATTTCCATGTATATTAAACCACTTGATATTTTGTCACGGCTTTTAGATGCACTATTCTTTTTTTCTTTGTGTTTTAGTTTGGATAATTTTTATTCACCTATATTCAAGTTCACTGGTTCTTTCCTCAGCTACGTCCAGTCTGCTGATAAGCCCACTGAAGGAATTCTTCATCTCTGAAAATGTTTTTTTAATTTCTAGCATTTCCATTTCACTTTTTAAATACTTTTCATCTCTTTACTGAAATTCCCTACATATTCATGCATGTTGTCCATCTTTTCCACTAGCTCCTTTAATATATTAATTTTAGCCCAACATATCAGTAATATCTGAATCTAGTTCTGTTTCACCTCTTGATAATGGATTGGTTGGTTTAGTTTTTATTTTCCTGCTTTTTGGGTGGCTTATAATTTTTGATTGAACAATGGATATCATATGTAGGAGAACAGTAAAGACTGACATAAATAATATTTATGCCCATAAATGAATATGCCTCTTCTCCAGTCAGGTTGATAGTATAGGCAGTTGAGTCAACCTAGTCAGGAGTTCAGCTGAATTTGAGTTTTATTTTTGTTATCATTACCTTCATTGTACCACAGGCTTCATTCAGTTTCTCTAGCAGGGAATTGTTCTTAATGTTGTCTTAGTGTAGGGCCTAGAGTGCTGGGGAGTTTTTCTCAGTGTCCGTCAGCTTTCAGCAGTCCTTGCATGCCTCTCCCCACATTCTTTTTCCTCTTCACTAGCAGACTGGTGTTGTTACTGGTGCTGGCTTGTGATGGGACAAGGGGTTCTCTATATTCCTGGTCCTGCCTTGGTCTTAGGCAGGCTCTGTGCACCTGACCCTTACATGTGGGGCTTTCTCAGTATTTCTGCCTCTTTCTGCCCCATGGCAGCCAAATTCTTTCTTGTATCTGTAGTGTGTCTTGAGTGAGAAAGGGTTTCCCAACAGCAGCCAACACTCTACTTTGAATCAGTTCAGGACACTGAGCCCTAGTATTTTCTGCTGTTCTCCAAGGGGCTGAGGGTTTGTGCTTCTTTATCTTCTCCAGAAGCAGGGGATCTTGCCAGAACCCTATTGGTGGCAATGTTTCCTGCCCTTCCCCTAGTGGCTAAGGTTGGTTTTCATACGAGAGGAAGATCTGGGGAAGTGGGATGGGGTTTCATGATTGTTCCCCAGTGATGGAACTATTACCTCCTAATATTCTTATCTCTGGAAAAAATTTATTTCTATTTTACAGAAAGGATTTTTTTTTTTTTTTGAGACAGAGTCTCACTCTGTTGCCGGGGCTAGAGTGCCCTGATGTCAGCCTAGATCACAGCAACCTCAAACTCCTGGGCTCAAATGATCCTCCTGCCTCAGCCTCCAGAGTAGTTGGGACTATGGGCATGCACCACCACGCCAGGCTAATTTTTTTATGCCCAGCTAATTTTTTCTATTTTTAGTAGAGATAGGGGTCTCATTCTTGCTCAGGCTGGTCTTGAACTCCTGACCTCAAGCAATCCTCCCACCTCGGCCTCCCAGAGTGCTAGGATCACAGGCGTGAGCCAGTGCACCTGGCCTATAGAAAGGAATCCTTCTTTACAGATATTTACTAAGGATCTACTACATTGTTTTAAGTATTCAGTACATTGCTGCTTGCTCTTTTATTTCTCTACCACATACGTATGCAGGAAAACACATTCGTCATTCAACGATCCACCTGTTTCTTTTTGCCACTTTCCATAGTGCCATCCAAAATCAAATCAAATTGAAATGCACGTGGTTAGGTCAAAAAGCTGTCTTGCATGAGGCAAGTGCGCACTTCACCTGGGAACATAGGAAAGAACTGGATCAGGGCCTCTGCTCTTCCTCTAGAGCAGCCTTCAGGGGTGAGACGTAGTCGGAGCTCAAGTAATAATGGCTTATTTTTAAAAATCATCCCCTCGAAGAGTCTCTTACAAGGAAATTTCTGAACTTTTTAAAAGCCATATGTGGTGTACACATGGTGCCAAAGGTTTAAGGGCAGATGGTTAAACCTCACTTTGAGGCCAGGGAAAGCCTAGTCCACCCTACTCAGACTTATAGGAGAAATGAGGCTGAACTATTTTTAAAAAGATGATTTCTGTCACATTGAGTTCTCTAAGGTACCTCAGCTAAAGACCAGGATTAGAGAAGAGAAAAAGACTTTTTGTTTTAGTTAAGTGTTACGTATGGAATATTAAATCAAATTAATGGGTTTCCAGGGCCTGAGGAGGGTATGTTCTTTATAAAAAACTATCCTAATTATCAACATTAAGACCACTCAAATTATGTCTTTATGTATTTTCTTTAACACAAGCTAATTTTAAGAGATACCTGATTGTTACATTGGTGAGGGAACATTTACAGGCCCTTTGTACTCTGGAATATTGTTTATGAGCTTAGACATACAAGTCAATGTTATTTAAGTAACCAAATTTGTTATTGCTTGTTACCAAAAAAAGAAAAAAAGAAAGAAAGAAAAACAGAAAAGTAAAATAAAGAAACTGGCGTTTATTTATCTTACCTATAAAAAAGGGGCTTGCTGAGGGCCTTTCCGTTAATGTGCTGTCACTCACGGGAGCGCAGAGAACTCAGCCCTTAAACCCCACAGGTCACGGGTCAGGCATGTTTTAACAAAAACTCACAGTGAGTGACCCGCTCCTCTCCGCAGCGCCCACCCCTGCGCCCAGAGCTGCGGGATGCTGCCGAGTGAGTGGCCTCCAGGGCAGGACGAGGCCCGGATGCCCGGCGAGCGAGGGGGGCAGGAGGCCCGGGAGGGGCCGCGAGAGCGCCTCGGGAGCCCTGGGGCCGGGCCGCCGCGGCGTGCTAGGTGGGAGCGTCGGCCGGACTCCCCCCGCCCCGGGGAGGCGGGGCCGCCACCTTTCCCGCGCTCCGGCCTCACCGCCCCCTCCACCTCCTCCGAGGCCTCGCGCCATTTCCGCTCCTCTCGGCCGAGCCCGCCCCCATGGGCTTGGGTCGCACGAGCTGAGCCCCGGGCGGGATGCGGCCGCGCCCAGGGCGGTGGTGGCTGCTGCTCTGGCTGCCGCCCCTGGCCACGCTGCCCGCGGGCGCCATGTACAGCGAGGAGGCGGCGGCGGCGCTGTCAGGTAACGTGGGCACCCGGCGGCGGCGGCGGCGCGCTCCCTCCCCTTCCTGGCTTCGGAGTCACCCGCGGGGGCGGCCTGCTCCCGTGCAGGTCCCGCCCGGCCTTGCGCCTTCTTGGCCTTCCCTGGCCCCTCTGCTGGCATCTGGCCATTTTGTGATTTTAGGACTTGAAGCAGCAGCACAATTCAAAGTCTGGCCCAATTCCCTCGTTTTACTGAAGCAAGCGAAACTCAGATATGTTTTGATTTGTCTGAGGTCCCGCAGTTACTCACGGGCACAGGTGACCCTAGTCTCCAGACTTTCGGCACAGGGCATCAATTTATGTTGAAAACTTTATTATTTCTCTGTCTAGCTATTCCTTTGGACTCAGTGGAGAAGGTAAGAGCTTTGGCTTTAGAATCGGACCAAAATTCTCCTACCCCTGACTGACTGTTGTGACCTCTAGTGAGACGCAGATAGTGTTACCTCACAGGACTGTTGTGTTTAACGTGTGCATAATTCCTGGTTCATAGGAAACAAATGGTAGCTGCTCATAGTGTTGTGGCTATCCGTGGAATGTTCTCAAGATCCTGGCACACCGGAGAAGGATCTGGGAATGACAGGGAAGTCAGAAAACAGTTCTGATTCCAGAACTGCTACAAGTTTAACTCGAGCTTAATTTTAACATTTCTGTCTCATTTTTCCCCCCTCATAAAATCCTTTAAAAGATTTCCTGGATGCACTCTCCACCAATTTCCCTTCATTGCATTGGCCACCCCTGATTGCAAAGGAGACTGCCAAGTGTGTCGTTTTAGCTGGGCATGGCCTGCCCTCCAATGAAATCAGGGCTCCTTGTCTAAAGATGAAGGAGAGAATGAATATTGAGTAGGCAGTTATCAAATTCTGCCACAGCTGCAGTGAGTTGTACCTTGAGAAACAGTTCTCTACTAGTTTTCATTGAACAGACATTTGTTGAGTGTTTACTATGTGCTAGACAGTGTTACAAGTGCTTTAACTGCATTATCTATCGTATTTAATACTCATAGAAGTCCTGTAGGGGAAGCTACCGTTTATATACCCATTTTACAGATGAAGGAACAAAGGCTTAGACAGTAAGAAATGTAACAAGTATATGTTGGTGAAAAAATAAAACATAAATCTATCTATGGAGGAGATTTTTCTGGGCATGGCAGCAGCTGCAAAATTAGACATAGCCCTAGATCAATACCCAGAACCTCGGATTCTAGTTCAATCATTATACCTTGGTCCAGGCATATAATCTTTATGGACCATAGTTTTCTCATCAGTAAAATGAAGATGTTTTATTGCTGAATAGTTTCCAATATTTTCCTCATCTTTTTTTTGCCTCAGTGAACCCAATGTTTTTCAAGTTTTTGTGTTGACCACATTTAGTGATAATAGCTCACTTCTCTATTTTGATAATTAAAGATACCCATAAATGCTTTTTAGAGACATGCAAGATACCATTGAGTGGTAAATTCTAATTCACAGCTAAGAAAAATAGCAACTTCTGTAGCCTTATAGTGGTGCTTGCAATTCCAAGTAGGCTTTACAATACAGACTGTGAAACATCCGGGATCCTGCAGTGCGCCAGTGCCACTGTTGGAAGCTCTGGATTAAACTAGGTCTAAGAACCACTGCTGCTCCAAAAGGCTGTGGTTTTATGAAGAACCCTGAGATGAAAGAGCTGATTATTTCCATTCATTAAATAAGGACCTTCCTTAATATGAGATTAGATGATACTTGGATTTTGTGATATTAATGCTTAAGGTCCCTTCCTAGTCTAAAATTTTGTCTTGAGTACACACCTTTCAATGGAATGGAAAACATCCAAACCAAGGCCAGCTTTCTGTCATCCTATCTGGAGGAATGTCAGAGGCAGTTGACCCAGGAGGGGCAGGTAGTTGTCTGGCTGAAAGGAAAAAAACTTCAAGCCAAGAGTTGCCCATAATTTGCAAACAGTGGGTGAGTTCCCTAGAAACCATGTATTGCCCTGAGATGAAGTTCAGGCCCTGGAAATGGCTTCCCAGGCTTAAACTATAGCAGTAGGTCAATTGAAACCACAGCTTTCAAATTCATCTGTGGAGAGGAAAAATCTGTGCTTGAAGTTAAAATCAGACTTGAATGTGCATCAATCAGCATGTACTAATTCTAGTTTTATTCTCATGTTCTTGGAGAAATAAAAATTGAGATTGATATTCAGATTAAATACTGGGATTAATAGAATAGTTACCACTTTTGTAACTTCGGTACCACTTGTTAACTCCTTTGAAAATGTGAATTTACAAAAAAATACTAAGAAAAATCCTAACTCTATTTGAACTCTCACCAATTAAGGTTTATTGGAATCTTGCTTCTTATTTTTCCTACTCTTCTCTCTCCCCTTCCTTGTCCCAAAAGAAAAGCAGCCATAGGTCAAATGGAGAATAAGTCTTATATTATTATTCTGTTATAGTTTTATCTGAAGATAGTTTTTTCCCACATGGCCATGTAAGGTTAAGTTTTCAGGAGGAACAGTGGTGCAATATTTTTATGTTGAGGTTAGGGTCTAAGATTTGAGAAGTGTTTGTGCTTTTTATTTTTAATATATTCCATAAGTAGGTTTAAGTACTACCTGCTCTTTTCTGAAGTTTTGACTGAATATTTTTACCGTATGTATGACTAAACTCTTTAACTTAAATATATACTTACACATTTAGGAAAACTAATATGTGACAAATGTACTACAAAAGGAGATAGTTTAAATTGAATTTATTAATTCAAGTAGGTGATATGCAGCTCTCCCTTTTTATTTGTAAAATATATAATCCTGAAATTAGATAAATTGAATATTTATAAATTGGGTGGTATTTAAAGTGAACTAAAGGATCTATTTCCTTGGTTAAGGTAACCTTGACTTGAATTTTTAATGTAAATAATTAATGCCTCATGTACTTGTTTTAGTGTTTTAGGCATACTGTCCAGAAATATACTGTTCTCCAGAAGTCAGATAAATTGAAAGGATCAAGAGAGCCTGATGAAGACTGCAGGGCGTTAAGGGAGGCAATGCTCATTCCAGGGCTTAGACACCAGCTTACTGTAGTAAGGATGGTATTCAGGGTTGGTCCCACAGATACTCTTATGTGCTTGGGAGATGAGGCAGAGCTGGGGTAGCCCACACTTCCAGACCTTTTTTCTGATCTGAAGCAGGTTTGAGGAAGTGAATATAGGCAGTCCCTGGGTTACAGATGACCAGACTTAGCACCTTCCGTACTTATGAATAGGCTCCCAAGGTTCCCCATGGGGATAATTTATAATTAAACAACTAAATTAATAATTAGGAAACTAGTTTCTTCCATGCATGTAAACAAACTCGCATAGTGTAAACAGTTAATTGGTGCCACATCTTTACACTAAAGGCTTAGTCTCATTGTTTATATGGTTGCTTACACACAGCATCACTTTCATCTTAATTTTTTTTATTCAGTTTTGTGAGTCTGTGTTTAGCCTTGTGACCATGCCTCCAAAGTGAAAGTCCATAGCAAGTCCAGGTGAGCCTGCAGTAAAGAGAAAGGTGATTACAGTAGAGATGAAAGTAGAAATAATTAAGCCTTCAGAGAAAGGCCAGACACCATCATTCACTTGGAAAGCATTGTCATCATTATTGTTACCATATATGTGCTGTTCATAGGGACCCAAGTTACATACACATCTGACCTAAAGACATTCTCATGATCCTGTATTCTCAGGAACTTATCTAATCTATAACTGTGGGACTGCGTGTTATGGAGCACCCTCTAGGGTGGGGACATGGTTCAGCCTCAAGTGGAAGCAGTAGCTTTCCCTAGGCAAGTATCTGACCAAATTAATACTAATATTACAACATTTTATAAATTCCCAGAGATTCTGTTTCATTTTCTGGATTGCATTATAAATTCCCAGAGATTCTGTTTCATTTTCTGGATTGCATTATAAGGGATTATTGTTGTTGTAATATATTTGGGTTTGCCTACATCTGCCGCCGGGAGGTTCCATGCTAGCAGAATGAACCGGCATGAATAAGTAGGAGACCTGTGAATAAATGAAACCTGCAGACATGCAGGCAGCTTCATAACCTTCAGGGTTTAATCAGTGATAGAGTCCAAATAAGCAGTCAAACTAGTTATGTTTTCTATTTCCCACTCTCAGTTGCATATAAGGAGATAGAAACTTAACAGTACAATGTCTACAAGAAGATTGCTAAGAGGAAGAGAGTCCTAGGAAAGACAGAACCTTTATAATCAATCTAACATTAAAATATTTGGTCTCTCTGGGAAGGCAGTGGGCCAGCTGCAAGAACAATCTTATCATGGGTCACTCTCTTATGCCTAGTCCATTTAGCCCATGGCCTAAAGTTCATATGAAGTGGCTTGTGACTTCTTGTGGCTGGTCCCTTTTTGTTTTTAAGGAATTCTTATGTGGGTTGATTGAGATGCATTCCCCTCAGGAGAGAGGTGATAAGAACAAAGTGCAACCAGAGAACACCACAAAATGTGACTCCTTGTCTGTATCATCCCATAAATATTGTATAAACTGCACATCAGCTTCACCTCAAAAGCCAGAGGCCACTCTGGAGAATTCCAAGGGAAACACTTTGCAACATGCTTTTAGTAGCATGTCTATAGGTACCGATAGTCGGGACAACCTACCTCCATCTGTGCTTTCCTTAATCTGGTTGAAGACTGTGGGGAAATTCAGAACAAGTTCATTTCTTCTAACTGGGAGGTCCCTTACACAGCATACACTGATGTGTCGTATGTGAGTCAAACAAAAACAAGCTTATTGTCACCTCTTGCTTCCCCCTGCCCTTCTCTGTTGGTGAGGAGTGAGAAGATGCTCCGTAGCCCAGGGGATATTAAGGGTTACAGTGCTCAACCCTCTAGTTAAGGGTACATTGATGATGGGGTAGAGTAAGGGGAGATGTAGCCTGTGCTTTCCAGAGTGGCCCTCATGTTGTGTGAGTTCTGAAGATGGGAAGGCAATAGCACAGGCTGCAGAGAGTGTCCTGTTTCATCAGGTGGTTTCAAGGGGAGTGCACTCCATTTTATGGTGCTGACTGGCCCTGGCCAGGCTCTTACGAAGACTGGGCTTTCACTGGCTAGGCCATGCATGCCCAAGTAACCCACTAATCCTCTCAAATTACAAGCCACACACAAAAGACAAATATTCAAGTGCTGGGGGTTACAGCAATGAACATACAATGTCCCTTACTTCATGCAGAGACAGTATAAGCTGACAAATACATATGTAATAAGAAGAAAGGAAAAAGCAGAGTAAGAAGAAAGCAGGTGAAAGTGATTGGGGTGTGCTGGTTTAGACAATGGGGTCAAAGAAGGGCTTCCTGAGAAGGAGACATTTGAGCAAACACATCAGTTGTTGGAAGGCACAGTCCCTGCCAAGATCTGGGGGAAGAAGGTTGCAGGTTGAGGAAACTTGAGATAGGTGTGTGTCGGCAACTTGAGGAGGACAGGAGGGTCAGTGTGGCTGGAGCAGCCAAGTGGGAGGGAAGGTCACAGAGGCACTGGGTCCTTGGAAGGCAAGAGGATTTTATTATGGTGTGATAGGAAGTCATTGGAGGGTTTCGAGCAGGTAAATATGTGCTCTGAGGGATGCTTTTAAAAAGATCTGTATGATGATTGGAGACTAGATTGTGGAGAGAATTGTGGGGCAGTTTTGGAAGCAGGGAGACCAGCTAGAAGGCTGTTATGGTCATCCAAGTACAACATGCATGTGGCTTGGGTAACAGAGAAGCAATTACTCCTAAATTCAAATTACAGTGTTATACTATACTTAAATTGCATCATCTTACTCTTGAGAGCTACAGGTATTAATGATTTAGGAGACAGACTTAGGGCCAAATGGAAAATGCCTCATTTAAAGGTAGTGTTTGTTTGTAAATCTCAGGCCCCACAAAGAGGATATTTTCTCAGATCACTACTGTTCTATGGAAGTTGATTCAGTCCTTGACATAGCGGAGATCACTAAGAGTTGCAGGAGGGACCCTGGAGGCACTCATGAGAAAAGTCTTCTGAACATTGAGCACATGTGTGGGGAAGAAAGAACTGTCTGGAAGTAAACATTCTTATAATAGTCTGGAGCTGCTGGGTCTGTGTACCTGAGACCTCATCCTCTTCACCTGCCCTGCCAGAATGCACTCCCTTTCCAAGCTTAGGTGGGAATCCCTCCCTGTCAGTGAGGACTCCCAGTATAACATTCTTACCTGTCTCCCCTGGGAGGATGTGCAGAGGCAGAACATGGGATATGGGAAGGTGAGTCCAGAAACAGGATCCCACCTCTGCTGCTCACCTAGCTGGGGGCATTTAGTGTTTTGTCATCATAGTTGCTCAAGTTCTTCTAGGTTCTACACTGCCTTCCTGACGTACATCTTGTCTACAGTAGCTGCCAGCACTTTGGCATCCAGGGACTAACCTTTCCTTGTGCTGCTCTTGGTCAGGAGTCATTTCCATCTCAGATATGCCCCAGAATGTGCCTCGGCATTGGTTGCTTTGTGTGTTTGTAGCACTGGTTCTGCATTCTCCTTTGCATAGACAGACCATGCAGCAGCACATTTTTAATTTTTAGTATCTTGTATTTAACAAAGAACCTCTAGAGCTTTCTTCTCATGCTTTTTTGAAACCTGGCTGTTAACCTGGATTCTTATGTTTGCATTTCATATTCTTAAACTGTGCAAATTTGTTGATATATTTAAAAACATATGCATTCCATCACAGTGTAAAGAGTGAAGATGAAATGATTTGGCTGTCACAATGAAATACTCTAGGTCCTCATGTAACTCTCCTGCTTTGTGTAGCCACCTGAGAACCCTGACTTTTATTCAGTTGTGGTTCAGGAGGTGGTGGGCATTCCTAGGATCCTTTTCCCAAGTCTGTCTTCACTTTTCTTCAACTTAATGCTAAGTATATTTCAAGCCAGGACAGGGACCTATCTGAGCTTGTTCAATATTATTCCCTAAATGGATGTAATTTTTGACTAGTTATTACTGGTTACCCAGTTCTTCCCCAGCTTTGGTGTAGCACTTGTTCTGGCTTCATTTCAGGTTTTTCTGGAGAAACAGCTGACCACACTTTCCTTAGAGGAGTCGGGGATTGAGTGTAAGGCCCATTTCTGTGTGTATTCATAAGTGTTCCTTGTTCCTGTTTCCTATTTGACAGATGTGATGGTGACACCTCATCTTGGATTCAGAAGAATTTATGACTTTCATCCCACTTCATTTCAAATCCAAATACACCAGTGGCCACAGAAGAAAATGAACCCTAATTTTCTTGTGGCTTTTACATTAACTCTTTGTAATACAGCACTTCTCTCTCTCAATTATGTTGTGTTGTAGTCTATATTTAATTATATATCACACACACACACACATTTATGTATCTACATCTGTCTCCAGCCAAATTTCTCCTGTGCTGCAGACCTGTCCATCTTCATGTAGTCCCGCCAGTGAAAACTCAGTATGTCCAAAATTGAACTCATCCCCTTTCCCTGCACAAACTTGCTTCTTCTCCAGTATTTCTTATCTGAGTGAAGGGCCTCACTATCTCTCCACTCACCAGGAACTTCACATCATCTTCTCGTTCTCCTTCATCAAACAAACCTCCAAAGCCTCTTGATTTCACTGCCAAAGTGCTCTCAGTCTGCTTTTTCTCACTCCTCTCTTAGTCCTTTTCTTGCTTAGATTGCTTTAGTAGCCTCCTTAGTGGTTCTTCTGGCTTCAGTCTTCTTCCCATCTATATTCCACACTGCAAATAGAATGTGCTTTCCAAAATACAAATGTGTTCCTGTCACTTCCTTATTGAGCTGGTGATTCCCTGGTTGTTCCTGCAGATCCATGCTGAGCCCTTCTCTGCCCTGCTCAGTGCCTGGAAGCTGACCTCTATGGACTCTGCCATCTGGGCTTCTTTGTCCTCTTGTCTTCCTGGCAGGTTTGGTCAATTCAAGGCACTGACGGGAGGGCAGGAGAGACAGGTTGCGGTGCCCTCACTCCACCATTCCATGGAAGCTCTGGCAGTGACTGCATTCCATGAGACAGCTGTCCCTTCAGCTTCAATGGCCCCAGTAGCATAGGGTCCTCCCCTTGCCATTTCAGAACTAGGCTGTTAAAAGCTTCCTGCTATTATTGTTGGTGCCTGGGAACTTCACAGTGCCTTGTCGTTAGCACCTTAACCCTGTCCACATCTTTACTGAACTCTTCTCAGTTAAACCCCTTTGAGTGTCAGTAGTTTCTTGCTGAGACTCTGATATTTCCCTAAAATCCTTCAGTGCTCTGCTTTCAGGATGAAGTTCACATTCCTTAGTGTACTGGTAACCACTGTTGACCTCTCCAGCTGCAGGTGGTGTATTCCTACACTCTACACTCTGTCCTTGTTCCCTCACCAGTATAATAATCAGATATCACTAAACTGAACTACTTCCATGATTTCTCTCATCTTCATTATTCTGTATAAACTTGCTGTGCCCACCCCGCCCCCCTGCCTCCTGACTTCTGTCTCATTTACCCTTCAGTCCTCCACTCATGTTTCATCTTTCCTGAGAAGCTGCCCTTAATTCTTGCTGTCTACGCCAGGATTGAAGAAATGCTTGTCCTCTGCTCTTACAGTGCCCTCCATATATCATAACAGTATTAACACTGGGCTGTAATATTTTCTGTCTTTTGCTAGGTTGGAAAGACTAAAGGACTATAATTAACATGTAGAAGAATTTATGGGTCACAGAATGTTAAAACTGCTACCTTTATCTCTGTGTGGGGTCGGCAGGGGGAGAAAAAGATCCTGGGCAATTAAAGATTTAGAAAAAATATATTTCCTTTTCCATCTTTCAGTTCAAAGGTGTAAAGCTTTGAAGGAAATGGATTTAATTAAAACTTCTCAGTCAGACTGTTACTGCTACAATCAGAATTCCCAAATGAAGTGGAAATACATGTGGTCAACTGTGCAGGTAAGGACCTACTTTTAAATCATGTCTTAAGAACAGGGAATTAGGCCGGGCCCGGTGGCTCACACCTATCCTAGCTCTCTGGGAGGCCGAGGCGGGAGGATTGTTTGAGCTCAGGAATTCGAAACCAGCCTGAGCAAGAGCGAGACCCCGTCTCTACTAAAAATAGAAAGAAATTAATCGGGCAACTAAAAATATATAGACAAAACTAGCCGGGCATGGTGGCGCATGCCTGTAGTCCCAGCTAGTCGGGAGGCTGAGGCAGAAGGATCGCTTGAGCCCAGGAGTCTGAGGTTGCTGTGAGCTAGGCTGACGCCACGGCACCCACTCTAACCCAGGCAAGAGAGTGAGACTCTGTCTAAAAAAAAAAAAAAAAAGAACAGGGAATTAAAATGTACCATTTCAAGAATAGAAAGTACTTTTTGTGTGATACAGAGCTGTGAATTGGTATGAAAGCTGTCTTGGGGTTCAAAGGAAGGGCAATGTGAGAGGGGACATTAATACCTCCATACTCTTCATCAGCCCCTCCCCACACCACTCCAAATGAATATACCATCTAAATGAATACAGTGTGCTTGCTGTTCAGACACATCTCAAGACAACACCTACCCTCCTTCTTTCCAAAGTTGCTATCCCAAGCCTCTCTACATAGAAAATCTGGAGTAACCTCTGATCCCAAATATGGCCAAGATAGCAGTTGCTCTCAATTGCCTACTACTTTCCTTCATTCAACATTTCACAAATATTTATTGAGCACATATTAAGTGCCAGGAATTATTTCTAGGCTCCTAGGATACATTGGTGAACAAAACAGATCCTGGTTGTTTTGTGAAAATCCAGGGACAGTGTAGAAAAACCACCTGCCAAACTCAGAGAGAACTGAGAGACCAAAGAATGACTCAAACAAGGGCAGCTTGATGAGTTAGATGAGTTTATTAGAGGTTACTTACTAGAGCACTTGCTCCTGCGTGGCACAGGAATTTCTTTCGCAGGAGCTTTCGTGCCTGCAAAATCTGCATCTGCCCACCCTGTGGTGTTGCCTTAAATCCCTTCCCAATGAGTAATACAAAGTTTTTACATTGTATCTTTGCTTGTTCACAGTGAAACATATCACACAGATGATAGTACCACCTGTGTGATGTGACAGTACCACCAACACTGTCATGCAACCCATGTTATGTTAATGATATTATAATTTTTCACTAGGTGGTGCTTTTAGTATTACAGTTAGCTAAAGGTCACTAGAGGACAGCCATAGCAGCTCTAAATCAGTCAGGGCTGGTTTGAGCTGGCCACTTCAAGAAAAGAAATTGCTGAGACACTCAAGAAAGTGCTGGGCACCTTTCCTGGGCCCAGTAGTCATCTTAGTACCTGTCTCATCTATTTTGTAACAACTTTGCTGAGCACTCCAGGCTAGCACGGCACAGTGTTCTGTTATGTAATGTGAAACCTGCAGTTTTCCTTCACCTGTCCATGTGAATATTTACATTTTCAGGGATAGGGAATAGTGAGTGACAAATGTAATAGAGAAGAAAGCGATGAAACTAGTAAGTACTATGAAAAAAGAAAATGTAGAGGAAGGTACGTGGGATGAAGGGAGTGGGGGCCACTTGCCGTATTTAAAAGAGTGGTCAGGATAGTTCTCCTTGAGAAGGTAACATTTGAGAAAGATTTCAGTGAAGTGAGTAAGGGACCCAAGGGGGTATCTGGGGAAAGAGTTTTCCAGGCTGAGGGAATAGCTGGAACATCATATCAGGAGGCACATGATTTTGATTGGTACCATTACTGATAATATACACCACTTTGATCACAAGGTAAAGGTGGCAACTGTCAGGTTCTTCCACTGTAAAATTACTATTTTCCCTCTTTAATGAATGAGTATTTTGAGGAGATAATTTAAGACTATGTAGATATCCTATTCCTCATCAAACTTTCACCCCCTAGTTTTATTATCCATTGGTGACACTTGCCTGAATCAATTAGCATGACGATGTTTATCATGGTGATTTTCTAATTCCATTATTCCTTTTACATTCATTGACATTCTGTGAGGAAGAGTTTTTCCTCCTCCTGTTTATTTATTTTTTTATACCCATATAGTCTCATGAATTGTCAGTTCATTCAGTGGACTACAATCCATTACTCTCATTATTTATTTTGATACTCAAATTGTCTTGGATTTGGCTAGTAGGAACCTGTTCAGACTAGCTTCTGTGTCCTTTTAATTCATGTCTGTCATTTTTGAGCATGATTTTACTTTCAAACAAACAAGATATTCCAGGCTCATTTGTAATTTCCTAGACCCAGCTCTTAAATCATACATTTTCCCAAGGAGCATTTGGCATTAGGTACATTCATTGGTGCTCGGATTATCATGGTCATGTGTGTACACACATACACATACACACTCAGACATTGGCTCACATATCTGTATCTACCTTTTAAAAAACATGGGTTCTGATATCTCTAATATGCAGGGTTCATTCTAGTGTTCCACTTTCCATATTTGTAACTCCCTTTTTTGGTAGTGAGAAACTTGTTCCCATTGTCCTCAAATATGTTTATTTATTTGCCTAATCCTAGAATATACTGAAAGTAGTTTCAGAATTGCTAAGTCATACCATTGTAAAAAGTAAACCTAATAACAGGAGTTCAGTATTTGTTTATAGTGTTTTTTATCTTTTGTGTGAGGGTATGTAGTCTAAATACTGTGCTCAAAAATTACTTAGGCTGGGCATGGTGGCTTACACCTGTAATCCTTGCCCTTTTGGAGGCTGAGGCAGGAGGATTGCTTGATCCCACGAAGGAGTTCAAGGTTATAGTGAGCTATGATCATGCCACTGTTCTCCAGCCTGGGCAACATAGGGAGACCCTGTCTAAAGAAAAGTTACTTAGGTTAATTCATTCCTATCCACCCCTCTTTAGTATGGGTATATTACTCATTCAAAATATAATTTGTTTTTATTTGTTTCCATTTCAGGGGTTTCTCCTATCCTATTTGATTTTATTATCATTATTTTTGAGTATATACAACATTAATATGGCTTAAAAGTCAAAACTCTTACACAAAGGTTACTCTCAGAGAAGTCTCACTCTCCCTCTTTCCTTCTATTCATTCCTACCCAATCCTTGTAGGCAATCAGTCTGATTAGTTTCTGATGTATCTTTCCTGTGTTTCATTTTGCATATGTAAGTAGCAATGCATATTTATATAGATAGCACCTAAAGCCATGAGACTAAGGAGTAAGTTCAGATGGAGAAGAGAAAAGGACCAATGACCGAGCCTGGGTCAGTCTTAATTAAGAGGTCAAGGAGAAGGAAGGAGCCGGCAAAGAGAGAGAGGAACAACAGTAAAGAAGAAGACATCTGAAAGCCCTGGGGAGAAATTGTGACAAGGAGAAAGGAAGTGCCAAATGCTGTGACTCAGGATTAATTGACCGTTCAATTTAGCAACATGGAGGCACCAGTGACCTTGTGGGGGCACTGGCAGCCTATTGGAGATGAAAGCCTGATTGAAGTGTGTTAAAGAAAGTGGGAGGAAAGGAACTGGAGACTGCAGGACAGGCAACTTTTTAAAGGATTTTTATTGCAATGAGAAGCAAAGAAATGGGGGGTAGCTGAAGGGGAACAGTGGAGTCCATAGAAGGTTGTTTTTTTCTTTTTAAATGGGAAAAAATATCATCATGTCATATGCTGCTAGGAATGATCTAGTAGAGAAGGAAGAAGTGCTGGTGGGACGTCCTTGAGCAGGCAAAGGTGGATAGGGTCCAGTGGACAAGTCTGGGTCTTTCCTTTAATGGAGCATGTAAATTTCTTCTGTAGCAGAAATTTCCTCCTCACAGGCAGGAAGCAGAGCATGTGCCTGCAGATGCTAACAGATAGGTGGATGTGGGGATAGGAGCTGGTCGACATTCACTTCTGATTTCTTCCATTTTCAGTGAAGTAGGAAGGATCAACAGCTGGGAATGAGGATGAGGAGGAGGTGTTGGAGTATGGAGGAAGGCGAAGTTGTGAAATGATTTGTTGATTTCAGCAAAAATTGAAGAATCAATGGATAGGAATGTGTGGTACGAGTGATTGTAGCTTTCAGATCTCTTTTCATGTTCACAGTCATGGATTTGAAAAGAGACGACTGTGCTTCTCTCTAGGACATTTGGTGGTGCAAATGCAAGAGTAGAATAGGTGAAGAGTTGGATTTTGCAGTGAGTGTGACAAAGCAAGAGGGGTGCAGAGGATTCAAGGGTGCATGCCAGTGAATGGTGTATAATGATCGATCATGGGATTTAGCTGGGTAAGAAGGGACTGGGTGAGGACCAGGGGAAGGATGTTCAGATCCTTGTGAGGTTGGAGTGCTAGAGGGGGCACACTGGAAAGACAGAACGTGGGGATCACCCAGTGGGATGCATGAAGCACGGTGTATGGAGGGCTACAGTTTGGTACTGACAAGATCCATGGTGTGGCCACGGGAGGGATTAGCTGAGGTGGGGCGGAAGAAAGAGCATAAGAGGAAAGGAGTTCCAGGAACTGAGAAGCCAAGGTACTAGAAGGAGTTTCGATTGTGTATATTGAAATCCCCAAGAAGAATGACAGGAAGTATTAATAGTATTGGAGAGAGAGCAACAGTGAGCTGGGAGCCAAAGTCAAAGAGAAATGAGAGGATTGGTAGGTAGTGAGTGATAAAACTTGATGCCTGAGATTCAAAGCTGGTGCTCTCACTTCGCTCTACAGGCTTGCTCTACTCTTGGACAAAGCAGAGAAATAGACAGACAAACTAAGGCAGCAGGGGAATTGTCACTTAATGACTACTGAGTTGTCACCATCTGCTTGTAGCTAGTGTTTTGTCGTGCAATTTGAACAGGACCTGAGGTTGGGCTCTTGGCAGGTGTGGTGAGAGAAGCCTGACTTATATATGCTCAGCTGACCAGAGAAGGGAAGCGCTTTTTCTGAGTCACGGTAGAAAATGGTGGAGATAGAAATCCTATTTTTATTATGTTTATAACCAAATAATTTGCTACCCATGACAGGTGTACCTTGGAGAAATTGTGGGTTTGGTTAAAGACCACTGCAATAAAGTGAATATTGCAATAAAGCAAGTCACACAAATTTGAGGGTTTCCCAGTGCATATAAAAGTTATGTTTACAGTGTACTGTAGTCTATTAATTGTGCAATAGTATTATGTCTAAAACACAATGTACATAACTTAATTTTAAAAATACTTCATTTCTAAAAAATGCTGATGCAGAGACACAAAGTGAGCACATGCCGTTATAAAAATGGCAACAATAGACTTACTCGGTCTATTGGCGAGGGTTAGATATGCAGGATTGCCATGAACCTTCAATCTGTGAAAAACTCAGCATCTGCAAAGCACAATAAAGCGGCATGCAATAAAACTAGAGATGCGTGTACTTTTTATCTTGTCCTTTTTAATGTCTCTTGGACACAGTAACTTGCTAGGAGTTAAGTCAACCACAACTTGGTGAAAGAAACCTTCACTTCCTTTTTTTTTTTTCCTCAGTCCTCTGGCTGAAAGAAACCTTTACTTTCAAAAGTGTCTACGGTCCACTGTGTGTCTGGACTAAACATAGATGTCAGGTCAGCCCCTGGGATCGAAACACTACCGTGCACATTCTTTACTCAGCCAGTCTTGGGTTCTTTTTACTTTTCCGCTCATGTTTTTAAGAAACTTAGAAGAAGTTTTTACTTCTGTGTTTATGGATTTGTTTGTTCTTGTTTTGTAGGTGAAAATTACCAGTCCAGGCCTGCTCAGTATTATATATATAACAGAAAGACATAATTGCCAGTATCCAGAAACCATTCTATCTTTTATCAAATGTGTGATTCATAACTTCTGGACACCAAAGGAGTCTAATGAAATAACTATAATAATCAATCCTTATGGGGAGACTATGTGCTTCTCTGTGGAGCCTGTCAAGAAGATATTTAGCTATACAATAATCGTGAGTCGAAATAGTAAGTCTGTTTTTATTGTACTTTCTGGATTCAGTTTTTCTGGAGTAATATTTCAATGAATTGACTTTTTTCTTCTTTCACCAACACTACATTGACACAAAATGTTTGTTGTGTGTCTTTTTTACTCCAGTCGTGGATTTCAAACTCTTCCTTGTGTTTGTGGCAGGCATTTTCCTTTTCTTTTACGCAAAGACCCTGAGTCAGTAAGTATTCATTTTTACTTTTACATTCTATACCTATAAAGGGGTATAGGTCATTTTTTGACTGTATGCTCAGTATTTTCCCACTACTATGCGGTTGCAGTTCTTGCTTTAGGTTTTGCAAACAATATGTCTGAAGATAGAGCTTAAAAGACTCTTAAAAAACATTAACAGTTTTTGCATAGCATGATATGTATATGTTACAAAGTACGTTCACATATTTTATTTTATGCATTAATATCTTTTATTTTCTTCGTTCCTCATAACAACTACATGAGCTGTGTATTACTGTTCTCACTTTATAGATGAAAACCAACATGCATCATCACACAGCTAGTTCTTATCAAGGTGGAGATTTATACTCAGGTTTTCTGGTACCAGATGCCTTGCTCTCTATTCCATTAGAGCTGCCTCCTACATTTGTGGAGGCAGAAGGTTGAATATAACAAATGTCTGACTCTTGGACATTTTGTTTCTTACAGTTTCTCTTCTGAAAAAGGAATCTCTTTCCAGTATCTTACTGATGCTAGTTAGTACCCAACATTGGTCAACTATTCTTAACATTGTTCATTTTTGAGCTTTTCCTTATAGTCTTATCAAGTGTGTTTAATGTCATCCATGAGCTTTACAAAGCAGAAGATGCATAGATAGCACGAAGGGTAAAGCTTGGAGTCAGAGATGCTGGGCTGTAATCCTGAATCCTCCAGTTAGCACATACTCACTTGGAGAACGTCTTTTAACTTCTTGGTGCCTTAGTTTCCTCCTCTGTACAACTTGGACATGGATAGCTGTTCCTAGGCTGGTGTGAATGCATGTAAAACTCTCAGACAGGTGCCTGCTACAGGATAGATGCTCAATAATTACTGTCATATCAGATTCTGAATATAGAAGGTAACTCAAGACATTTCCTTTTTAGTTAGTGGCAAGCTATTTACTGTAAATTTCAAGTACCGGTTTCATTTTTTAAAACTATAAGATGTAATTAGAGCTGCCATCTGAGTTTTTCTTTCTTGGTGTTCTTTATGGCTACTGTTGACAGGTTAAACGATTTTCATACTAAAAGTACTTCCTGGCGTTTAAATGAATTTTATCTGCTTGTCTTAACAGAAACCCTATTTTCTATTACTCTTCGGGGACCATGCTAGGTCTTCTAATGACATTAGTCTTTGTCCTGCTGTTGGTGAAAAGATACATTCCAAAGGTAGGTATACTATGTGCAAATGAATAAAAAATGGAAACCATGATCTCATAGACATGAAAAACTAATAAAATAATACCCTGAACTTAGTTGAAGATAAATAACTACTAATTCATCATAGTAATATTCCAGTTATTCTGATTAAAGCTTGCAACACTAGCACTATTTTGAGATAAACTTATTCTTTATAACAGTGTTTCTCCAACTTTAATATCCATGCAAGCCACCTGGGGATCTTGTTGAAACGCAGGTTCTGATTCAGCAGTCTGCAGGAGGGCCTGAGAGTTCACCATCCCAGTAAGCTCCCACACGAAGCTGAGGCTGCTCTTTCATGGACCATGCCTTGAGTGGGAAGACTGTAGACAGTATCTTAAACTGACTTCAATTCACTTTGACATAGAAGATTCTAATACAAAGGGTTTGTTTGCTTCTATTTTTTATGAAAGTGAATGAACCGAAAAAAATGTGTCATTTATTTTCTTCCACACACAGTATAGCACCTTTTGGGCTCTAATGGTTGGTTGTTGGTTTGCTTCAGTGTATGTTTTGTGCCAGTTGATGGAAGAGCTGAAGCGGCTGTGGTATGAAAACAGAATATATATATTAGGTAGGTAAATGTAAAAAAAAAATGTTCTATTATTGATAAAACTGAGAAATACACTAGAGGTCTACTTTTGACAGATGTTTCTCTCTAACATCTAAATTTTCTTTTTGGACTAAGGAGAGGTGCTATTGAAATTAATATTTTATTTTATTCCATAGTTGGTGATTTCAGTTCATTTAGATCTCATTTTATGTGATTTCCCTATGACATTCTTCTTAGTTTTCTATATTAATGATCAAAAGAGCAAAAAAAAGCATTTGTCCCTTTTGACTGCACATGCTTCTGAACTGTGGTTAAGCACTAACCACAACTAACCTGTAATATAAAAGTTTCTCTAAAATGTGGCTCTTGATTTCTTTCTGTTAATGTTTTCAGTAGGAAAAGTGAGAAATCCTAACTATAAATGACTAATGAAAATTTGGCTTTTCAAAAACAGAGAAGCTAAGAAACTATTGACTTTCCTTGTTTTGTGTTTAAAAAAAGCATTTCTTATTATTTGTTTTAATTAGGAAAAATGAAGAATAACATCATTGATTTTCTCCTAACTCTTAGCACCATATTTTTCGTGTAAATCCACTTCCCCCAAACAAAAACAATTCCTTTTTGTTTTACTTGAAAATTCTATGTTTTTAGATCATTTTTTTTTTTTTGCTAAAGTATTTTTAAAGTAAATTGCAGATATCATGGTATGCTCTCCTAAATGTTTCACTATTGATCTCTGAAAATAAGAGCATTTTTCTATATAATCAATTAACTATTAAATCTAAAAAAGTAATAATTACACACAATCATCTATTACCCAGGCCATGTTAAAATTTCTCAGTCGTCCTTGATGGCATGTATAAACTAGGATCTGGTCCAGAACCATATTTTGCATTTGTTTTGTCCTGTAAATCTCTTTTAATCCACAACAGTTCCTTTTTTTGTCATAGTGATATACTGAAGAGACCAAGCTAGTTGTCCCATAGAATGTCCACTTTCTGGATTTATCTGATGACTCCTTTGTGGTATCATTTAACATGTTTCTTGCTCTCCTGTATTTCCTGTAAACTGGAAATTAGATCTCGAGGTTTAGTTAGATACGAAGTAGACATGTTTGATGTAATACATAAGATACAATGTGTGTTTCATCTTGGATCACAACTGGAAACAGAATATTTTATAGTCCTGCCATTAGTAATGATGAGACTGAACACTGGATTCAGAGGGTGACTGATCCCTCGACCGTAAAATTACATTTTCCTTTTATGACTAGAAGGTAAAAATAAAAAATAGTGTTTGTAGCAGACTGTGACATACAACTTATTCCTGACCAAAGCAACTGTGATAACATTTGCCCGGCTAAGACACTGGACTGAAAAACAGACATGCTTATATATCACAATAATAATTATTATATACTATATTAATTCTGTAATATAATTATTACAGAAGTCAGCCTAGTGTCTCGTATAGGAGGAATAACTGGCCCTATGTGCATTTTTCAACCTTCACTGGGAAAAGAAAACAAAAATTAAAGTTTTCTAATGTGTTCTTACCTGAAGCCAAGGCTCTGCCAGGTTTTTTACATAATTTTTCAAGTTCAGATTTACATTATTTTACCCCTTCTGCTTTTCCAGGCTATGTTCTGATAGTTGGGTTTCTCAGCTTTGCTGCCTGTTACAAACATGGGCCCCTTGTGGACGACAAGAGCAGGTGTCTTCTGATGTGGACGCTGCGGCTCCTCTCCTTGGCCCTGGTCTATGCTGGTGTGGCCGTGCCTCAGTTTGCCTGTGTGGCCGTGATCCTCCTCGTGTCCTCCAGGGGCCTGTGCTACCCACTGAAAGCATTCAGTTATGTGAGGCGGTGCGTATCATTTTTTTCTTAGTCAATTTGATATTTCGAGCTGTGGTTTATTTATTGTTTTGGGGGATTTTTTGGGCATGTCATATTTGATCTCATAATTACATTTAATCTGGAGATTTCACTCTCAGAAAAGGGGAGGAAAGAGAGCTCTAAGCATCTGAGCCCATCTCCATTCCTAGGCTCACCCAGAATTTACTAAAATCAGTGACAAAATTACTTGGGCTCTGTGTGGGTTACCTAAAGTTTCTACTTTTAGTTGACATTTCCTTTCATTGGAGCCAAAGACTGCTTCAGTGGCATTAGTTGTGCTTATGAGGTAAGAGCAAACAGAAATGAATCATAAATGATTGAAAGGTCTTTTTATATTTAGGACCTTCTTTTTTCTCAGGTTTTAAGTTAAAGCGTAAGCCCTTTGAAGTACAAAAAGAAGGTCAGGGAGCCGGGCGCGGTGGCTCATGCCTGTGATCCTGGCTCTCTGGGAGGCTGAGGCAGGCGGATTGTTTGAGCTCAGGAGTTCGGGACCGGCCTGAGCAGGGGCGAGACCCCTTCTCTACTAAAAAATAGAGGGAGGTTATCTGGACAGCTAAAAATATATAGAAAAAATTAGCCGGGCATGGTGG